TCAGCATTTACAGAAAGAGTATTCTCTGTTATGAACGCAAAGTGGCGGGACGACAGGAATAAAGCTTCATTAAAACTAATTAAAAATGAACTTTTAGTTTACTTAAATCTTTGTTTGCCATGTTTAGAGGCTATTAATGTATTTAAGAGCGACAGCAATTTGTTACTGGCTGCTAGGTGTAACAAAAAATATGTTTTTAAAAACATAAAATAAAATACTTTATTTTTATGCCGAGTACTTTTTTTTGAACCTTTTAGTCGAGAAATACTTTATGTAAAGCCTGAAAAGGTGATAACCCTAGTCCTAACTAACTCACGAAATAGTCATACATATTATTTGACATCATTTCTTGGCACATATTCATTTGAGACGAATTCGACGGCGAAAAAGTGGCTAATTTTATCTTTAAGTTTTCTCAGCATTTTTTGCAAATCTTTACCTATTTTTGAAGACATTTAAGTAGCCACTGTTAGTAAGTAGATTGGAACCAGTTGGAAAGGTTTGTTACTGTGTCCTCGTTTACGCGTCCAGTTCACCTTAGTCCAAAAAGAGCCTCATTCTCATTCCGATTCAGATTCATCACGCATTTTTCTGACGGCGATTATATAACATTAGCAGACCATGAAACCATAATAATACGATGCAGTCAGCGTGGTAACTGCCGCATGAAATGCAAGTGCACTTGCCTTATAAAACACGCTTGTAAAGTATTTCTGTCTTTATCTTTCTCCGTTCTAGCAAATTGCAATGATTAAAATGGCTATTCTTACAGTAGATCCGCTAATTAAGGCATAACATAGAAAGGAAAAGAACAGTAGTTTTTCTGTACTTTACAAAAGGAGAAAACTGTTCAGAAGGTTCTAGATGATATACTTTTTAAATGAGTTCTCAATTTTATAACGAAAGAACGATAACATCCACGGTACAAAATCGTTTAAACATCTGGCTAAATATTATTGTTTTACTTTCCGTAATTTGAATATTTTTTAGAGTTAGGGTCGCCACCAAAAAATAAGGGCTTATTTAAACGATATGAGCTGCTTTTCTTCTCTTTCTACTAGCAACCCTTAAGTATTATACATACTTACAACAATGTTAATAAAAAATAAGTTATAAGCCGCGTTGCGGTCAAATTTTAAACGAAACAATACACTATCAAGTAATTGTCAGTATGTCGCCATCTGTAGGAATTTACTGCCAACGTGCCAATACTTATAGTTTATTAACTCTGAGAAAGAAAGGTAAAGGTCTTCATCTAACTGATTCAGACCGAGCGGCATGGCCTAGAGGTCTAGACCATTGCTTAGCATTCGGGAGGACGCCGGTTCGATTCCGGGTCCGTCTGCCTTGGTCCAAGTTTTTCTATGGTTTCCTTGGATCAATTAGGCAAATGCTGGGGCAGTAATATTCCATAGATAATCTTTCACTCTCTTCTGTCTTCATTTCGTCCGTCTCATCTTTCTCACCCGAACCACCACCCACCCATTCCCACGATTCCTGAAAGCAGGCTGAAGAGGGCCTTCCGCCCTACCTTCCGGCATAGTCCGGGGGAATGAAACACCCAAAAGTTTTTTTTTTTTTTTTACTGATTCAGGTACCTATCAAGAGTATGACCCGAGTCATAGATGTAGTTTTGACAAGTCTTGTAAGGCCCTGACAGATATTACAAAATACTGCCATTAACAGTAAATACCTCTAGATGGCATTATACTATCACGAACTTGATGTTAGTTAACTCACTTACTTGGAGTAACTACTGTTTAACTAGTAATTGATCGAAACTAATACATTTATATGTCGACTGATTTATTGATGATCATTGTAAGATTAATCTCTTATGACGATACAATTGGTGCTGTGCAGTGACGGCTACTGCTTTCTGGATAGAATGAGAATTTATCTCAGAAAATTTTTGCGTTTTATATTAAACTAAAATAAACTATTTTCTTACGAATTTCAACAAAAATCAGTAGCTAAAGGATAATCAGTGAACCTTTAACTAAACATTTTCAAATTCCTTCATTCCTTTATTAATTTTGTGTCATCATCGCGACTGTTTCTAGAAAGTGACACCTATTAAACCCTTTTTTAGCTTTGATTCACACATTCAGTATACAACAGGGGAAGAATAGAAAATAGAATTAACATTTCTGTTCCTCAAAAAGTGAGGTTTCCGCCACCTCCCCATTAGGTAAGCTTTCCGTACCTGCCATTCCTTCGTCCTTCCCCAGGATTCTTATGAAAGTAGTAAAACTTTATGGAATAACTTCAAAAATTGATTTTTCTCTTTCGTTTTTTGTTTTCACAGTTCTCACCCTTCAGAGGAAGTTCTTTCTTCTCAGGCCTCCCCCCTTCTTTCTTCCATCCCTTCACGTACCAGCCTGCATGCCGCAATTTGTGTCTCAAATTTTAAAATCTGGACCGTATAGAAGATCCTCTTTCGATATCCTCATAAGCAGGAGAAATTTAGAGAAACCCATACTGATGACAACCCGTTAGGGCAGTCCTTAAGGATTATACGTCATCCTCTAGTGAAGATATTTTAGTTCCGTAATTATGACTCGTACTTTAAGACAGGTGGTAGGTAGGTGGATGGATAGAAGTACTTTCGAATTAATCGCGGGCGGCGAGTCAGTTAGTTGACTTTATCAGCTGTTTGGTCATGGAGGTGCCGCAAATGTGTACCCGTTGTACATATTATCGTAGCTGAAGTACCGGTTAGTTGTTGCTGGTCGGTACTGAATGTATTCAGTAGTCGAACGGAAAACAGTGTCGGACTCGCGGTCTTCGCGATTGTTATGTACACTTTGTTGTATTGTTACCGTATTTGGACCCAAGAGGATTTTTTTTGTACCTTTAAAAACTCCTGTTGATAAGTACGTAGCGGTACCGTCTGCTTAGTGATTCGTTCTAACAAACAATTGAATTCTCTATTTTATTTTGTTGTATTTGGAAAACTGTTGGTCTACTTCCTCTTAGAGTCTAGAAGGTATGTCAGTTTCTCTCTGCCAATTTGCAATAGCACTTAACAAACCAGTTTCTCCTAGAAACGGTGCAGTATTAGTATTAACTTACGATTGCCTTGTTGGTTGGAAAGTTCTCTTTCAATTTTTTTATGCTGAAGTAAGAACATTTGCAATTTATCGATAAATTATTCACTAAAAATACTGACCAAGACCAAGGATCATACAATTTCGGTATTATCCTGCCTCTGTGAGTAAGATGAAACAAGAAAATTACGCAACTTTCCCGAAACGCTAAAGCACAGAAAGCGCTTATTTTTGTACATACAATTATAATTTTGTACTTACATTAAATTCTATAAGTACACACATAAATTAGCTGGTTTGTAGATATAAATAAAAATCTGGAGTTATAGAATCAACTCATTTCCGTTTCATTTAAGTCTTTTCAAGCACTCGTCTTCCTTGTCAGTGAAAAGCTGATTTCAATTAGTAGTAATATATTAACTAGCAACTTTTCAAATTAAATCTGCAATATTTTCGAATTTTTAGCCAGTATAAATATAGGCAGATATAATAATTCGTTTTAGCTTTGAGTTGAAGTAAAAGCTTTCCAAATTGGAAAAGACTCGCTAATCGTAAAGGAGATGATAATGAAAATGGAAGATTTAGAACAACAATTAAAGTAAATTACAAGAATAAGAAAGGTTTCACTAAAAACGATTTACATAAACGAATGTTTAAATCAGAGCAACGATAGGAGATAAATATTTTTACTTGTTAATTTTTAAAACCACATCCGACGTTTCGCCCAGGTTTGTAGGCGTATTCAAGGACGGAAAAAAAAGCCTTGAAGAAACTTACAAACCTAGGCGAAACGTCGGACGTGGTTTTAAAAATTAACAAATAAATTATTTATCCCCACCGTTGTTCTGATTTAAACATCCCGTAAAATTAAGGGAAGATTCGAATATCGAGTTACATTAATTCTTGACGAATTTGTGTCGAACAATAGCAACGATTATCGATATCTTGTTCTTATTACCTTATTTTACCTTAATATTTAACATATTTCACGAAAAAGGACTAATTAGCGTTTAAATTTTATAACAGATGTATTAATCCTTAAACCAATTTAATCTTTTTTGTTTGTTTCCTATGGATGCGCAAATTTGTTTTTTGATGAACTGTAAATGAGTAAAACATTCCGTGTTTGTTTAATTTATTAAATCGCCAACGTCAAACATAATGAGCTATAATGTTTATGTACGTGTTTTTTTACGCTCTAGTACACACAATGCTTTATGATTAATAATAACAAATTCCGAATTTTTTTATTAAATTGCTAACAGTAAATATGAAATGAACATATCTTATACTATTCCACATTTCGCATCCGTTTGCAGATAAATATTGAATATTATGCCTAACGCGCTTCTTATCAAGATTTTATTTTCTAATTATTAAAAGTTACTTTAAGGGTGAAAAAAATGCTAAAGATATACAAGTACTGTTCAAAAATTATCGCGAATTTTGTGATTTTTCAAAAATTATTTATTTATTCGTGAATATCCATTTCGTCCCCTTCAAAATAATTCCAAGCAGATATTATTTTCTTGTTCCAACGTTTTTTCTAATCCTTGAAGCACTTCAAAAAATTATTTTTTGTGGTCTTGTTCGGCTCCTCCTTCGATGCGCTCTTTATCTCCTCAATTGTAGCGTAGCGTAATCCTTTCATGAGCCTCTTCAGTTTCGGGAACAAGAAAAAGTCACAGGGAGCCAGATCTGGGGAATACGGTGGCTGCGGCATTATTAGTGTGTTGTTTTTGGCCTAAAATTCGCGCACAAGCACCGATGTGTGAGCAGGGGCGTTATCATGGTACAAAAGTCAATTTTTGTTCCTCCAAAAATTCGGGCGTTTCTGACGGATTGCTTCTCCCAAATTGCGTATAACTTACAAATAATATTCTTTACTAACCGTTCTACCATGTGGCAAGAACTCAAGCACCACGCCCCTGGAATCGAATAAAACTATAAGCAAAACCTTCACATTCGACCTAATTTGGTGCATTATTTTCGGTCTTGGCCCGTGCGGCAGCTTCAATTAAGATGATTGAGCTTCGCTTTCCACATCATAACCATAAACCCATGATTCGTCAGCAGTTATGACCCTCCGTAGTAAATTTGGGACGTCGCGGACAGAGTCCAATAACTCCTTAGCAATGTTAATGCGATGTTGTTTTTAATCGAAATTGAGCAATTTTGGAACGAATTTCGCAGCGACCAGTCTCATGACCAAATAGTTGGTAAAAATCTAATGACAGAAACCAATCGGTATGTTTAGGTCCTCAGCAACTTTTCTAACGGTGATTCGACGACTGACCAATACTATTTTCTTCACTTCAACAATGTTTTCGTTTGTTGTTGACGTGCTCGGGCATCCGGCACGCTCTTCACCGTTCACATCTTCTCGGCCCTCTTCAGAACAGTTTGTACCACCGATAAATGTTGCTTCGGTCTAAGGTAGCTTCACCATATGCTACAATCAACATTCGAAATGCGTCCGCGCACTTACTTCTGTTTTTCGCACAAGATTTGATACAGATTCTGTGATCCATTTTTTGGCCGAACTTGTCGGTTCAAAATTCTCGATATTTTTTGAACAGGTCTCGTATAAAACAGAATGAAAAAAATGAATTAATTTTTTAATTGATTTTACCCACTACCTCGAATAAATAAGGAAAAAAAATCGATCATTTCTGCGAGCTATACTCTTGGGTACGCTTCGTCGGTTGATGTTGTCACCTCCAGGGTTCGATTCCCGGCAAGGGAATGACAGCAGCTACAACAATTTTTTCTCATTAATCTAAGGTTATCTGTAATTCCAAAATTAATTCATTAATACATTGGCTTAACGCTATAAAAATTCGAAAAAAAAAGTATCTCATAAGTAAAAAAGGTTATAAGAGAAAAAGAACGGAGGGTGCTATTAAAATTAACAAGAAATAAGCGAGACAGGACACCCTCTCAGACATGAAGCGCTAGTTGATAGAAATATATTAGAAGCAGAAATAGAAGAAACTATTCAAGCATTTATGTACATTCTAAACACTCCAAAATTAATACAATTAAAATTGTCTAAATTCCAATACACCTTTGTAACGTTTCGTAGTAATTATAGAGTCAATACTCTTTTAACTTTCTCTTCCTTTACATTGGTAAACATTATAGGTGCATATACTTAAAATTTTCTACCTTCTTGTAATGCTAAAGGATTCCTGATGGACAACAACATAATAAACGATAACTGTATGCAGTACAGTATTTCTAAGACCAACAATAAGTTAAAGTTACCTGCATTTTCCATTAAAACCTTTTAAGATTATCAACTGCAGTAGATAATAATCTCTTTAGGTAAAGTCTTGCTGCATCGAATATGATTTGCTGAAACTATACTCATAACTTACCCTGAAAAAGAAACAAAAAAATCGTTTACAATCATATTTATAAATTGTACGTAAATATAAAACTATACATTTAAGTTGAAAAAATACTACACAATGGGATATTGCAACAGTTCAGTATATCAAAAAAGAACTAGACAATTGTTTCTATAATATTTAGACAGTTATCAAAAGTACCTAACCTGTCCATTTTTTTAAACGTATTACACTGACGAAACATCCCATTGTGTTTTATTTTTTGTATCCTACATTTTATCTTATAACGTTTTGTGTGTGCATCGCAATAAGTATTAATATTAATGTTGTTAGTATTTGTCGCAGTTATTAAACGCATATGCCCGGTATAATCCACGGAAAATGGCTCTTCACCTATGTAGATAATACGAATGGGTTCTCCTAAGCAAATTTTGATCCGCAACAATTTGCAATTTACGCCTTAAAGCACTTTTTAGTGAAGCATTGTAGCTGTATATAAAAGTAAAAATACTTGGTATAGTCTTTATTAAGTCCCTTTGAAGTTGGCTTATCCGCATTCTACACGACTACCCCATTCCTACAGTATAAAATCTACAATTCATCATCGTGTTAATTTTAGAATGGAATATTTGTCAAATTTCTTGGGCCTTATCGCTAAATAATGATAGTAGATGTATTTCATTGTTTCTATGTATTTGGTCAATTGAACAAACCAGTAAGCACTATATGAGTCCACTTCTGGTCGTTTTGGCTCTTCATTAATCAAATTCTGATTTGCATACGGACTCCTTCGCATTTCTATTGGTCTATCAACCTAATGAAAAACAAAAAGTGCTACGTTTTTCAAGCGAATAATGAGGATACCGTGGAAAGAAAAAGTTAGAAACAAAGAGATATTAGGAGCACAGGGGACTCTATGGGAGTCAATAAGAAATAGGCGAGATAGGTTGGTAGGACACCTTCTCAAGTATGAAAGATTAATCAAAGACCTATTAGAAGCAGAAACAGGAGTTAAGAGGTAGATTAGATTACTGTATTTTTTAAAAAATTCTACAGTCCAATGAAAACTGAAAAGAAATGTCACTTGTAATGTGATAGAACCATTATTAAGTCAAATGTAATCCATTTCGTTATGATTGAAGAGTTTACTACTGTCAGTATCAATTTCCAGTAATGGACTTACTTAATCGTTGCTGTACCTAGATAAAGATCTTTTCTTCAGAAAAAAATTTGAGTTGAACGGAAACCATTATATTCAACTAGCGGAACATACATACATACATATAATATACATGTAAAAATGATTAACTGTCTAAGTACAGGATGCAAGTACCATATACAATTTTTACAATCCACTAGTTTTGAATTAATATTCATAGCGCAATGATTTCAAACTCGTGATCGATCAAATGACTTGAATTCTTCCTTGAAGAGGTTTCTAGAATACAGAATGCCACCTAAATCAAAAAGTTTCCATATGAAACATGCTAAAATTATTCTAAACAATTCCAATCGTAAAACGTCCCAACCAATGATAATTTTACATTTTTATTGATAGTAGTTAACACTACAATTATAGATTTATA